AAAGAAAAAATATTTTTCACACCCAATGCATGTGAATGAGAAGTTATATTTCATGATCATAGATTATGAATGTTGTACCAATGTAGCTAGCACAATCATGGTGGAAAAGCTTGGGTTAAAAGCCATGAAGCATCCGAGTCCATATATGTTACAATGGCTTAACGAATGAGGAGAAATCAACGTTATCAGGTGATAGTTCCCTTTTCAATTGGAAAATACAAGGATGAGGTTATGACAATATGACAAAAGAAATCTCCATGATTGTTTCACCAACCAATACTCGTTCAACCATGGAGGAAAGAATATTGTCCTTACTCCTTTAACGTCGAGACAAGTTCAGAGTGATCAATTCAAGATGAAACAAAGCATTGAAACTATGAGGAAAGGGAATGCGTCATCAAGCAAGGAAGAAATAAATCAGAAAATAAGTACCTATTCATCTAAGTACTTGATCCGAGAGTTTTTAGTGTCGAGATGCAAGATTCAAGACACTTATTCTAACCATGAAACTATATAATTTTTCTTTGATTAGCAGGAAAATCTAAAAGGCACAATTTGTCAAATGGAGAAACCAAGAGACGTGATCCATGTAAGTTAAAAGACTTATCGCTTCAATTACCAAAGGTTGTGACTCTTCAATCAATGGACATGACTCTTAGAGAACCAAAGAATGTGTCTTTTGGAGTTCCAAAAGTTATGATCGTTCAAAGCAACATATCTTGTGATTCAAAAGACATAACTCTTGGCCATCCAAAAGATGTGAATAGGAATTATACCTTTAACTTACTAATGATTAATAATTCCCTTACTTATGAGAGTTTCCATTCTTTTCATGACATGAACATTCACAACTTTTATTCAAATGACATGACTTATGAAAAGAATCTTTTCAAAAATGTAACTGTTGGTATGATACTATACAAAGAAATGCCTTCAGAAAGATATATTTTCAAAAAAGAATGTTTTGAACAAGTGCCTGTTGGGAAGATAACTCTTGATAACGAAACAACAACTATTGGATAGAAGGACATTAAGGAGAAATCATCTTTCGATTTGAGAACAAGTCGCTTAAAAGAAAAAGGATGACGTGACCCAAATCAGCACCATATTCATCCTTGCATCTCCAACCTTTCACAAGATTAAAATGGGGATTTTCTATAACTCATTCTTATTTTACATTATGGTCATGATATATATATATATATATATATATATATATATATATATATATATATATATATATTATATTTTCTTTGTTATGACATTTATATCTTTATATATATATATATTACATATATAGCTATAAAAATAATATCTCTCATGAATATGTGATGCATGAAGTTATTATTATAACTATAGTACACATCATTATATTATATACATTGTTATTTTATAATATTTCATATGCTTAACTTAATTTCTTTATCCTTGAATGAAGGTACATTCAGCCTCGCCAATGGGAGCTAATTTGAGCTAAATTATGAAGGCTAAAGCTAGGAGACTCATATAGGAACACTCAAGAGAGCATAAGGAACAATTGGTGAAAAGTTGTCCGGTGACAAGTGAGCTCATAGCTGGATTGAGATGAAAATTTGAGCTAGAAGATGACATCATTTCAGCTGGGGAGCTGCACCATTAACATCACCATTCAGAATACTTCAAATATGGTCAAGTTAAATTTTCATAAATCGTACCTTTTCGCAACAATGTGTCTTTCCCAGAGATAACTTTTCACAAGGAGCTGCCAAAACACTCATCATCATACAACTCACCTATGGTCAGCTCACCTCCAGCTCATTCATATTAGAACTAGCTCAATCATGAAGGATTACTTTTCAACCATTGTGACCTTTCATGAAAGTTACTGTCCATTGAAGAGCCATGACATCTAGGTGCACGTTGGTGAAGAGTTTTCATTAAAATGAGGCCTAAATCTCGAAGAGGTATGATACAAGAATCATGACCATTCGGCCAGCCCCTACACGCCATGCACAAGGAGTTTTGGCGCTAATATGAACCAATATCTCACCATTCAGCCAAGGAAGGTTCCATGCATATGTTAGCCGAATAATTAATTCCTTTGTGAAGAGATAACCAAACCAACATGAAGACCAAGGGACTTGTTCATTCATCCTAATAGTTATGCATTTTCATTAAGACATGTACCTTGCCGAATGGGCACATATCTATTCAGCCAACCCTCTATACTACTATAAAAAGAGAGGCTTAATTCATCTGTAAACCCTTTTGATATAAAACTTATTTTGTGAGAAATCTCTCTTCAAGTTCTTTTAAGAACTATATCGATTAAGCAAGTATAATTCTTTATACTTGTGGCGTCACTTCTTTCACTTGATACTTATAATTCCTAGTTTCCAAAACTAGTAGTTTAAGTCCTAAACACCACCCCTTATTCGAGTTTGCAAAGTCAGGGGCTATACTCTCTATAGTATAGTTTCTTCTTTAACTTGTCTAAGATACTTTCTATTTCCATCCACCATATTCATTATCTTTCACTTAAACATCTAGCCATCCTCATAATCCTTCATTGCCATCCAAACCATTACTTCAAGGCCATCTTCAATAACATCTTTTTGAAGGTTACTATTGCCATACTTCTTTTCGCAACAACTCTAATTATTTCTTCATATTTAATTCATTTCATTTTCTATTTATTTCCATCATCATTTTCATTACTAATCCATATTATTATCCTTATTATTTTGCAGCCATACTTATTGAATCTGGAGTAATGTTTGCTACCATTTCCTAGATTGGGAAAACAATATGGGCTATCTATCATCTTCTTCATTGAGGGCGTAGATAGGCTTACATCAAATCAGAATCAAAACCTTTCAACATCAGAAGCTCAATGGTCCTTGTGGATTGACAATTTCTTCTCTATACTACGTTTTTAGCTTATTTATCTGAGAAAAATGCTTATTTATTTGTCAATATACGAAGCTTGTCATATTCTCATGGTGATGTCCTTAGTTGAGGACTAAGGGAAGCATAAGACTCTTATTATAGTGATAGAACAATTGAACTTTAAGTAGGTAGCACTTTATTATGATCATGCATGTACCTATTACTTATCAGCATATATACTAGCATGCTTATGTTTAAGAGACTCATAGCGCTGCTCTAGATTAACGATTACATTACTGATCTTTGTAAGCTCAACGTTTGGATGTTTCCAGTCTTAGATTAGTAGATTGAGTCATTCAAGGAGAATTATCATAGCAGGACTTCCACCATCTCTTATAAAGTACTATACTATAACTTTTATTGGGTATGTGTATTCATAGAACCCTACTTATGTATTTGGATTTGTAAGCTTTTAGTTGCATTATTTTTTTTAAAACTATATGTCACGAAGCTCCGGTTTGTAAGAGTATTTTTTATAACGGTTATGGTTGTCTATTTTGAAAAATATATCATGGTTTAAATGGAAATGGAAAAGGTTTTTAAATTTAGTGGTTGCCTCAGTAATCCAATATGGCACTTTAGGCCCCATCAGATTTAGAGTGTTACATACAAAATTAAGAGATCATTGGTTAAAGTAAAATGAGAAATAGTTAAGTGGTCATTGATATAGTTTGCCCAAATTTGAATTCACATAAAATAAAAGGCTTAATGGAAAAATAAGTGTCGAGACTATACCCAAAGTTAAATTTAAGTGCTTAAGGAATTTTTCGTTAAAAATAGGTGTAATGTTTCCCGTTACACTTTTAGATGTCCAAAGTTTTTTATTTACACTTTTAAGTACCTACGGAGTAAAGACCGTTAAAAATCGTTAAGTGACACGTGTCATGATTATATTTTGACTTAATACAAAATTAAGTGTTCAAAATATAACACAAGTTAACTTTAGGTGCCTAAAGATTTTTTTTGTTAAAAATGAGTGCATAATGTTTTCTCTATTCACTTTTAAGTGCCTATGTAGTAACAACCGTTAAAAACTTACTAAGTGACACATGTCATGTTTATATTCTTTTAAAAAATTTATTTTCGAAAGATAAAGTTGATAAGATTAATTTAAAGCTTTATAACTCTAAAATCTCACATTTCAACCAAAATACCAATTGTCATCGACAATTGACAGTTGCCTTCACCATCGTTAAACGAACACTCACCTGTCGTTGAGTCTTCATTGTTGACTATCCCTCTTGTCGTTGTGTCAATCTCCTTAAATCCATAAATCTGGACTTAAATCCTTAAACCTAATATCCTAATCCCTAACCCCAAGTTTATCATTATCAACCTAAGTTAACTTTAGGGATTTATAAGGACGATAGAGTGGTTTTGAATGCAATTGATGAGGAGGATTTTTTTTGCACAGACGAGAGTGGGAACGATTTTTTTCTTAAAAAATATTTTAATAAATAAAATTTAAAAATATATATAATCATGAAATGTGTTAGAAAGTGGTCAAATTTAACGGACGTTACTACATATGCACAAAAAAGTGTAATATCGGAAGTGTTATACACCTAAAGTTAACATAGAATATAGTTTGGACACTTCCTTTTGTATTAAGCCAAAATATAAATATGACATATATCACTTAACAAGTTTTTTAACGACCGTTATTGCGTAGATACCTAAAAGTGTTAAAAAACATTATGCACCTAAAAAATATAACAAAAAAATATTAAACACTTAATTTTATTTTAAGCTGAAATAAAATAACATAAATATCATTAATTATTAGATCGATTAATTTGGTAATAACTTCTTATTTAAAGTAGTGAGGTGGGCAACCGGCCCCAAACAAACTCTTTCCTTAAAATACAAACTAAAGCAGCTCAGCTGTAGTCCTAAAGGTATTGTTTATTACTAGTTTGTTAGAGCTTTTATTTAATTTTGCTTTTAAATATGATTAGAAAAATACCAACAAAACCAAGAATTAATAGTATACATCTTTCACTTTGATTATCTTAACTAGGTAATTTAAGTTTTAAAACGGTTTTAGTCGTTCTTCCTAGGTTTAAAAGGGTTGCAAGCACTTTCAGAAGAAAAAAGGATCAAACATTCTTTGTCTTTTGGGTGTGGGTTTTTTTATATACCTGGGTAATATGCATAGATCTGGAGCAACGATGGCGTGGAACGTGTTCAGGTTTTGTACGGCTCTGAGGGGTCTGGGCTCGATCATGATCCTCTTGGTTTTAGGGGTTGTGGGTCTCACTTACTACTCTGTCGTTTTGGCCGTTTATGGCCCTGCTTTGTTCGACGGCGGCCTTGATTCCCTTGCTGCACTTGTCGTTTTGATCTTGTTTCATTGTCTGGTAAGTGTCCCAAATTTTTCTTTATTGGGTTTTAGAATTGCGCCTCTGTTTAAATAGATTAACATTTTATGTCTCGTTCTGTTTCTGCAATTTCACTGAAAGTCAGCTGCTATGAAATTACATTCAACTAAGTAAAGGGTCGTTTTTTTCCTAAATGATTAACGTGGTTCTGAAAATGTTAAAGCTTGAAATTTGTGTTTGCTCACTCATTAGTTAAGGTTGAGCTTTCAGGATCTCAAATTTTGTCCCTTTTTATCCTAATGTTATGAATCCTTGAAATTTCTATATTTATTGCTGTTTCTTACATATTAGAGAACAAATCCGATCAATGTAAGCTTAAAAAAATTAAAATACTGGATTGATAAATGTAAGGTGAAAACTGACGTTAAATATGTAAATTATCTGTTATTCTGCAGCTGGCAATGCTGTTATGGAGTTACTTTTCTGTTATTTTCACTGATCCGGGTAGCATACCGGCTAACTGGAGGCTAGATTCGGATGAGGAGAGAGGGGAGACTGACCCTTTGAATGGTTCAGAGTTCTCCACTTTGCACGAAAACCCTTCGAATAAAAGAATTAGATATTGTCGGAAGTGCAACCAGCTGAAACCACCTCGCTGCCATCATTGTTCTGTTTGTGCGTTTTTCTTGCACTGAAGTTGCCGTTTCTTTCTCTTCATGTGCTAATAATGTTGCCATCATCGATTTCATTGTTTCAGGTGGACAGTGTGTGCTAAAGATGGACCATCATTGCGTGTGGGTTGTCAATTGTGTCGGTGCATTAAATTACAAATATTTCCTTCTTTTCTTGGTATGTTTGCTTTATTTTTCGAATTAGTTTCTTATACATGTTATGACCCCTAGGTCCTGCTTTCTTTATTCTTTACTTCAAGAACTTATGGAAGCATAACACGAGTCACGGAGTGTTTCTGTCCGCTGACATATTCCTATTTGCGTGGATTATAGTAATATAACTAATTATGGAATCTATGAGATGTTGATGGAGCCTGTTTTCTTAGCATTTCTTTTGACTATGATTTTAAACCTCAATGCAGTTTTACACATTCCTCGAGACGAGTCTTGTGACTTTGGGTTTATTGCCTCAACTCATTGCATTCTTTAGTGATGTGGAAATTCCGGGAACTCCTGGAACCTTGGCTACCACTTTCCTTGCCTTTGGTATGGCCTTATCAGACTGCTCTTCTGATCTTTCTTTATTTTAGTGACCATGCAGTATGTACAAATGTATGACTATGTTCTGCTGTGGCAGTTTTGAATCTGGCATTTGCATTGAGTGTCTTGGGCTTTTTGATCATGCACATATCTTTGGTGGCTGCTAATACAACAACTATTGAGGTATTTAGCTTGATCTCAAATTTTAGTTTCATGTCATGATATTTGATGTTTCGAGCACTAGTCTTTATTATTACTTTAACATTGATTTGAAGAGTGATGCTCAACTTCATATGTATGGGTATTTTGACCCCTCTTCTTGTTCAGTAGAGGTATGAAAAGAAATAGTTAATGTTCCAACAAACTCAATACCATAATACCAATGTAGAATAAATGATTTTTTTTGGATAACCGGATTATGTGTTGTATTCCCCCCAGAATCCAGTATAAATGGACTCAAATGTACCAGCGAAATCTGTTGTTGTGTGTGTGACAGGCTTATGAGAAGAAAACCGCTCCAAAATGGCGTTATGACCTTGGTCGGAAGAAAAATTTCGAACAGGTTACTGCTTTTGCTGTACATTTTCTGTATCCATTTTTAAAGAGCATCAGTTTACTCATGGTTTGGTGTTTGTCTGAATACAGGTGTTTGGAACAGACCAGCGATACTGGTTCATTCCAGCTTATTCAGACGAGGATTTACGACGAATGCCAGCACTTCAGGGCCTCGAATATCCATCAAAGCCTGATTTTGATTCACAGGAGTTCTAAAAGGAAATTTGGAGAATTTTTATTAGTATATCAACGGGGAAGGCTGGTGCATCGCTCCTCTTGCCTTGTATTCTAACAGGATATTACACTGCGGCCGGTGTCGGCGGCGAATCGCTCATTCCTCTGGCATCTTCATGTAGGAATATCATGGAAAGCAGCATTGCATAGGGTTGTGAAAATGGTGGTGGGAACTGGCAAGTTGAGTTTCAATTTTATGTAATGACTTCTGATTATATTTTCGAAACCCCAATGTAACATTTCATGTTGTGAGATTAAATTAGTTATTGTAGATTTCTGATACAACCAAGAATGATGTGACAATTATCCATCCAGACATTATAGTTATCTTTATTGATGTGATCATCTCATTAATGTTTATTGCATGATGACTTTAAAATATAACCGGTTAATATAAAATCAAAAATGGGTAAAAATCAAATGTTATCGAAAAATTTATCATTAGTGTAACTTTTTATAGTAAATTAAATAATGTTTTAGGTTGAAATAGAAAATATTATGTTTCTTTATATCAATTTAAATAAATTGCATAATTATTTTGATTGCATCGTAAAAATTTACTGTCAAGACATTTTCGATTGTAATTAAAATTATTATCAATTGTTTAATTTTTTTATAGTAGACAAAAAACATTTTAAGTCAAAACTCGTAATGTGTTCTCAGTAGAAATCGAATTTATTATCACTTGTGTAATATAGATTAAGATCCACTGTAAATTAACCTTAAATTAGACTGTCGCACAATATAACTACAGTTTATTGCCGGAGTATTTCTTTGATTGATATTTTTCATCAAGCAATATAAATATTTCCATAATGTGAAAATCATCAAGTGGCGTTTTTATGGTTTGCCTTATCTCAATGAAATCCATTCATATATCAAGATTGGTAACTTTTTTTACCAATCTCTCTTTTGGATAAATGACCCAAATGTTTTTCATAATGAACATAATTTTATTAAGCATACTACCTTCAATCCCAATAATATTGTAAGTAAGTATTCTAAAAATATATATCATTAAATTTTGATTCATATAAACCATTAATAGGTTTCCTAGAACCAAAAAATAATGTTATTCTTAAATAAATTGTAACAACTATGTCCAAACGCAACATTAAACTTAGAAACATCAAGTTTGTATCAAAATGAATCAATTCATTATATCGGGTAGTACCAGTAGAATAAAACCATCAAGAATCAGTGAGAACTTCAATCAAGTTTGATTTGAAACATATAGAATCATAAGATTTACCTTTCATTTTGAATCAAGCTTTGAGCTTATGATAATCCTTTTTATGGTGTCGCAAAGAAGTGACGCTTATCCTTTGTTAGTTATTTTTTAGGGTCAACTATACAATTGATCACCTAACTATTTAGTCCTTTTATTTTTTCCATTAATATTTCAATTTATTTAGTCCTTTTATTTTTCCATTAATATTTCAATTTTGTCAATCAGACCGCATAACTATTTAGTTGTAGTCAATTAAACCACTAGTCGTTAACAGTTGACAGAAATGTTGACGTGGTAGTTAAATATTTTGGTATAATTACACATTTGATCCATGTTGTTTACATATTCTTTCAGTTTACTCTTATTTTAATAAATTAAAAATAAATTAAATTATTCAATTGAATGATGCCACGTTTCATCTAGGGGCAAAGGGACTATCAATCACTTGGGTTGTTCATGGACAGTTAACAGTACCGTTTAGCCTAAACGGTCGGTTAATCGTTATAACAATTATGGGATTTTTCTAACCGTAACATAACCATTAAGAAACGGTTAACGCTAATGGTTAACAGTTATTAATGGTTTGGTTATAGATTAACCTACGGTTAACCTATTATAATTATTTGTCAAAAAATTTTATGATTCATACTACAAAAAAGTGTAGCACTTAACACATATTTGCACCGGTATAAGTGAATAAAATCAAAATTATAACACTTAATAGGACTGTTCATGGATGGTTAACTGTACCATTTAGTATAAACGGTCGGTTAATCGCTATAAAGGTTATGAGATTTTTCTAACCGTAACCTAACGGTTAAGAAACGGTTCACCACTAACAGTTAATTGTTATTAATGGTTCAGTTACAGGCAAACCTACGATTAACCTATTACAATTATTTTTCAAAAAAATTCATAATTCATACAACAACAACAAAATGTTTAACTTAACACATATTTACACCAGTATAAGTGAATAAAATAAAAAGTGTAACACTTAACAGATACTTACATCGGTGTAAATGAATAACATAAAAAGTATAGCACTAACACATACTTAATCCGGTGTAAGTATCTACATCTCCCAATATCTTAGTAACTAACAATAAACACATATATTGATGTAAGTATGTTTCTATATTTTTAAAGAAATAAAAAATAAAAAATTAAAAAAATAGTTATTTGTATTCAAATTTTATTTTATATATATATATATATATATTATAAATAATAAAAATTATATTAAGTTATTTGTTTCAAACTCTATAATAATTTAGAAATATAATTATATATTTAATTTATTAATGATTAACGGTTAACCATTTATCAAAATTTGTAACTGTAATTTTAACCGTTAACCATCATTTTTACCGGTTTGGTTAACTAAAACCATTTAATATTAACAATTTTGTTAATTAACTTGTTAAATGAAACGATTATATCTAGGGATTGGCATGGGACCCGAACTCGACGGGTTTCGACCCGACCTGACCCGATTGGGTCAGGGTTTTTTTTTAAAAAATGATTCAGGTTCGGGTCGGGTCGGGTTTTTTTAAAGGTAATGTTCGGGTCGGTTCAGATTCGGGTTTAGGTTGAAAAATACCCAAACTGACCCGACCCAAAAAAATATATTTTTACCTTATATATTTAGGAATAATTACAATAATACACCTCTATATATTATTTTTTTCAATTAAATCATCGCTTTGATTGAAAAAAATAATATTTTTATTATTTTGGATCGGATTCGATTCAGGTGGAGGATATATATTTTTTGGTCGGGTCGGGTCGGGCGAAGGATGTAAAAGTTTTTGGTCGGGTCAGCCAAAACCCGACCCATTTTACTATTAACTTTGTATATATTTTATAATAGATATCACTTTGTATATATTTTATATCATAATGTATAAATATTTAAATTAATAATATTTTATATATCTTTAAAAATATATTTTATTTTCCTCTTAACTTATTGAATATATTTTACTATTAACTTAATTTTAATTTTTTTTTTATTTTAATTTTAAAAATATATTTTATTTTAATTTTATTAAATATATATTTAAGACTATTTTTATTTTTAATTTAAAAATATTTTTAAAATTTAAAATAACCATACAATATATATTTAAGCTAAGATAGGAATAAAATATATATTTTTAAATTAAAATAGTAATAAAATATTCTTATATTAAGTTAATAATAAAATTTATATTTTATAATTTAAGATAAAAATAAAATATATTTTTCAAGATATATAAAATATTATTAATTTAAGTATGTATACATCATGATACAAAATATATACAAAGTACTGTCTATTTTAAACCAAGAAGTAGGGATGGCAACGAGTCGGGTTAGGGTCAATTTTTTTTATCAAACCGACCTGACCCTAAAATTTTATATCTTACATTCACCCGAATCGACTTGGAAAATATATATCCTCCACCCGACTCCAACTCGACCCAATTTTTTAGAGCATAAATCCGACCCGACCTGATATAAATTAAAGATTTAATTAAAAATAATAAAAATTTCAAGGAAATTACATTATTATCCTCGAGTCGGGTCGGAATTTTTCACCCTCCACCAAAAATTGACCCAACCCGACTTCACCCTTTAAAAAATTCGAACCAACCCAATTAAATCCAAAATTTTTAAAAAAATCGATCCTATCAGGTCAAATTGAGTCAGAACCCGTCAGATGCTGGTAATTAAAGATTTAATTAAAAATAATAAAAATTTCAAGGAAATTACATTATTATCCTCGAGTCGGGTCGGAATTTTTCACCCTCCACCAAAAATTGACCCAACCCGACTTCACCCTTTAAAAAATTCGAACCAACCCAATTAAATCCAAAATTTTTAAAAAAATCGATCCTATCAGGTCAAATTGAGTCAGAACCCGTCAGATGCTGGTGAAATTGCCACTTCTTAGCAAGAAGTGGGCTTGCTTAAAAGGTTGGACATTTGCTTGATATCCCTTTCACCCTTGGATTGAATCTCACTAACCTTATTTTATTTTGTTTGTTTTCTTACAATCAGAGGGTGAAATGGTGGGAAATAAACATATCAAATTGAAATTAGACTAAATTGAATGAATGTGTAAACAATGGACTATATGTGTAATTATACCAAAATATTATACTGTCATGTCAGTATTTATGTCCACAATTAATGGCTAATGACTTGATTGATTACAATTAAATAGTTATGTGGTATGATTGACAAAATTAAAATATCAATAGTAAAAGTAAAATGGCTATATAGGTAAGTGGTCCATGGTATAGTTTACCCTTCCTTTTTTAACACCATTTAAAATCAATATGCATTTCTTTTTCTTTTGGCATAATACTAAAATCATCCCAAACTATTACCAAAATAGGCCCTTATTATTTTTTAGAGCATTTTGGTCCTCAATATTTTATTTAAGGGTAATAAAGACCCCTGTTTTAGAGTGTTAATCACTTGGTCTATTGATAACTCCGTAAAAACACTATTTTTAGGGCATTTTCACTTAAGTTATTGGTTATCTTATGGCATATTTAGGGTCATATAGTTGCATTTAGGACCATGTAGTTGCAATTGGTGGCTTCAAAATTGTTGTGGCATTTTATTATGCAAATGATGTTGCTTTATGGGGAACCTATTGTTGATTGATGTATGCAGGTTCATGAAGCAAAAGGTAAGCAGGGAGAATTGCCGTAGCAATTTGGGATGATAAAGGAAGAGGAAAATGTCGTGTCGGCTAGGATGACATTTATAGGCGTAGAAAAAGACAAAAAAGATGAAGATATTTTTATAAATAAGCCAGTTATCCAACCCACATGTGATTCGTGCTACCAACCATCTATAAAGGAACCACTGCCACCTTTTTACTCCCTTTCACATAAGGAGAGTGATATCTAGGGTACTAATGGAATTTTGGAACAAAACCCTAGGACATTCCCTTAGTATAAATAAAACATGATGGAACAGAAATGGAGAGAATTCTTTTT